CTACTGGAGTGTACAAACGTATTTATTTTGTCATTTTAATTCCAAATGAACAAGAAAGCAAGATAATATGCGAATTTGAAATGGATTTTGAACAAATGTAAGTAATTTTAGGTCTGAAAACTGGTTTGGATAATGAAAGTTTTTGTCTGAAATAAGATCAGGATTTTGAGAACCGGGTGGCACATCCCCACCAAGATTTCCCAGAAATACCCCACTGGGGGAGGAAGGCAAGAAAAAAGGGGCAGGGGCCAGTAATGCAAGGTATGGGAGGGAGGAAGTTTAGCACCCTCTCTTGTCCCCCCTGATAATAATGCTGAGACTTTCATGTTTATTGTCTCCTGAATTTACAGGTGGATAGATTAATGGTCCAGTGCAGATAAGAGGGAAGCAAAGCATTCAAGATCTGGTAAGCTTCTTTGAGCTGCAGTGAAATTTGTTGTCTCAAAACCTTCCAGGGGGGTTGATGGTATGTGAGCTGGGGAGCCAAGCTCGGCGGGGTGTACTCCCTATGATTGCCTATACAGGGAGGCTCCGTGTGAAAGGGGTGTCTTTTTCAGCCATCAGGTATATGAAAGGGTAGGGATTTCACTCGTTGATGTGTATTGAAGGATAGGGAAATCTGTCATTTGGGTCTGTAAAAGTGCCCAAAAGATCTAACAGATGAATTTTATGCCTTTATAAAGTTGAGAAAACGTTCTGTTGGGGATGCAAACTTCTAAACAGAGTATGTGAAAGGGGTACCATTTGTCAACAGAGGGTGTACAAAATGGGTCCCTTTCATTTTCATGGAAAATGGTGTATAAAACGATAAGGGGTTTAACCTCGGAGTGGAGCCTCCCCGTATAAACACTTGTTCAGTACACCCGCCGCCCCCGGAAGCAAAGTCCTTGTGTAGAGCTATGAGTTATTTGAAATGGTTTTTGGGGAGGGCGCGGATGCTATAGAAATATTATGTTGCCTGGTAGGCCTATTTATCGTTTAAAATTGTCTCACAAAAGTCTTTGTCATTGATTGCTTTGTTTCGACTGCATACTGCTGGTCAGGTGATGGTGTCAAGTAAAGACTATAATAATGTTAGTAATGTATTTCGTAATTGCTTCAGCTTGGTGCATTATGGAAGCCACTATGCATACTGCATATTTTTCAGGACAAAGGCTTAGCACGGACCCTTTTTTGACCTTGAAATTTATCCTTTTTTACATCGTATACGGTTCTCAGTTTTAGTGTAAGAAATTGAATCAATTTTGTCTGCTTACTTTTCCGACTAAATACCCTCAGAAATTGTTGTGTCACAACTTACCAAATCTTATCCTTATGTTGCCTATCTTGTGTCACAGTTTGTTTTGTTTTTGTTTTTATTTTCCCCAGGAGGAGCGTCTGTTACGCATGGGTAATGAACTGAGCCGACTAACTTCATACGAAGCAGAGTGTCATCGTAAAGATGGTGTCATTGCAGCTCTGAGAGATGAGGTTGTTGATCTGAAAGGAGCCCTTGAGTCAAGTTGCAGTTTCAGGTACATTTGCTCTTGTTAGTGTCCACTTTAGACAGTGGTTAGCTTGTTTCCAGGCTCCAAGATGGTCGGGTCTGTGAGAAAGCGCGAATGCGAAAATAAAACGGAAGGAAACCTCCTTTTTCCAGATCATGCGCTCATATTTTCGCGCCCCTTTCACTTACGCGTCATCCCTGCCGTCTGATAGTGAAATGATCTGAGAGCCTGGAACAGGCTAGACAGTGAGTGATCCGTCTTCATAAAAATTTTATTGCAATATGTTCTGAATATCCTTTACAAATTTGTTGAAAATGTACATCAGAAACTATGGTCGTGTAATCTTGTCGGGTTGAAAGTAGTTCTTTGCATGCAGTCAATGAAGTAACCGACATCTTATTCAACTTGGCAATAAAAAAGACCAAAAAACAGCTAACTTTGCTTATGTCGTATTGGTATCCGCATTTGACTTGCGGTGACGCATACCTTAACGGTACATCTTTTGTTTCCAATTCGAATTCTGGTTTGTCGTTCTAGTCAAGACGATAAAGTGACTTGTTTTGAGTAAATAGAAATTGCCCTTTAGAGCCCTTCTTTAAAGATGTTTTACTGGCATTGAAACGCGGTTTCTATTATAACAAAAGACAATATTCCTACCGCACATTTTGCTACCTGTGTACGGTCGCTAGATTCGAGAATTATTCTCTCTTGACTTAAGCCATGATTCGGAGAAAAATGGTCAAAAAGAAGAAGAAAAAGAAGGTACAATTAACAAGGCAAATGTAAAAGAAGGCTCGGATGGACAAAGTTTAAGAAGATTAAAACGGATTGCAATTCTGGGTTTTGAAAACTTATTAGCCTTACAGTTATTCAAAGTTGTTTGCAGCGTTTAATAAACTGCTTAGAAGGCATGGTTGTTTGACAAGAAGTTGTAAGTTTGTCATTTATAAGTAATTTCTTTGCTAACGTTAAGTTTCATAGCGCAGGGGCACCAAACGAGAGTATAGTTCAAAACCACTTAAACATAACATTGTCAAACGTATTTTAGTATTTAAACTGTAGCTATAGGCATATTTCTATCCCCTAAAAATTTTTCATCTGTTCGGATTTCCTAGCTGAAGGTCTAGTGATCCGAAAATTCAGAAAATTATGCGGATCAAAATTTACCTTTTCGAAAATTTAAGCCAGAGAAAAGGCTCCCGACTTTTTAGGGTACAAATCCGTTAAAAATTGGGCAATTATACCATTTTTGAGATGTTCGAAAATCCTAGGAGAGGCAGGCAAGCAAGAAATTTTACAACAAATGTTCTGAGAATTCTAGATCTCAAAGCGTCTTCCGAACAGATATTTTCCGAAAATTGACGTTGGGTGTCCCTGATAGCGCATTAGGAGGCGTAACGTACAATATTGGCAAAATAAACTAAAACCGTCTCTCCCAGAAAAGCAACGAAAAGAACCAAAAACAGCAACTCGTCAGGTTTATCAAACTTTTTGGTAAGTTTGTAGCCGCCCACGGCTTACTGCACGACAACAACGTGACATTCTCTAATGCAACGTTTTATGGGGTGTTAACCCGTAAGCTGAACATTCGTTAAGGAATTCTACTCTTGGTAAAGTCACCTGCATTTGACATATTGAACAATTTAAAAAAATCCGTGTCAATTCGATGTTTGAAAGGGTGCGAAAATCGTCTTATTGGTAACTCTTTGGTACTGTCGCCTTTGTGATTACTAAGCTATTGCAAAGCCGCTTTTGATCACTTTAAACAATCAAAATGCTGTTTGAAATCACTTCACGACCATTATGTGATGCTTTCTATTTTTAGTATTATCAGAGCTGGAGGAGAGGATTCAGCGTTTTCTAATGCAAGCATAATTCATCAGCTTCGTGAGCAAGTATCGCAGTTGCAAGCGATTGTGCAAGAGAAGGAAGAAAACCAGAAGGCAGCGGCGCAGAAACTAGCCATGTACCAGAGTCAACTGCACGCCAAAAACAATGACGTTGCTACTTTAAAGGACCAATTGCAGGCACAGGTTTGTCCTAAATATTGCCAGTGGAGATACTCTCCATGATGCCTATACGGGGAGGCCCCGCCCAAAAGGGGTACCTTTTTCAGGCTTCGGGTATATGTACAGGGTAAGGATTTCGTGAGTTGAAGTATAATGTATGAAAGTGTAGGGAAAATCGTCTTTTCTATGGATGTTCAGGAAAGGCTTTAACTTGACTATTTCGAGCCGACTTATCTTACGGCCGTATCAATTTTATTTTATTAAACGCAAAGCGAGAAGATTAACTGATAGTAGGTATAGGGGTACCATTTGTCAATGGAAGGTATACGAAAAGGACTACCTTTTCTGTCAAAAATGGTATATTAATAGGTAACAGTTTGGATAAGGCCTTTACCTATGGAACGTTGTTGAATCCTGATTATATGAGCTTTGCTTCTACAATTATGAAAAGGGTTTTGAGGGTGTTTTAACTAGTCGGCCGTAAGCAAGATTATAGTTGTTATTATGATTAATAAACATCGTACTTGTTCTCAATGAGGGATGGCAAAAACACGGTAGAAGAGTATTAATTATAGTCGGAGTGTGGTGAAACAGGGAATGATTACAAGCATAATGTTTTCAATCTGCGTGTTGCTTCATGTGCTATAAGCGCCGGCAACCGGAATTTTACTTGAGTTACTATGAAAAACTCTAGAGACAGTAGGCTTACTGCAGTAAATTTAAGGGGAGAATTATTCAAGGCTTTTTTTTTTCAATGAAGGAGGAAGGATTAGCACAGTTGGTTAGTACGCAGCCTTCTGTGCTGGAGGTCCTGAGTACGATTCCCAGGTGTGACCTCAAATCCTTCTTTCGACTTCTTCCCTTTCTGTGTAGCTTTAAATTCGCGTAAAACGGATCACTGATGGAGAGAAGGCGGATAAAACGAGCGCACCGTCGACCTCAGGGTTGTTAGGGTGGATTTCCACTGTCGCGTAATTTTTATCGTGAGAACGCGCGTAAATAAAATAGAGACAATGTGTGGAAGGTCACGCCTAAATGGAAAAGTTGATCCTTGCTCAACTTTCACGTTTACGCGTTGCCTTTCATACATGTCTCTATTTCATTTACGCGCATAAATTTTACGTTCGTTCACACGGAAACATTACGCGACAGTGGAAATCAACCCTTAGTCAAATGACTATTTCGAGCTACCGACATAAAATAAGGACTCTTTACCTTTACCTGTTACTGTTTATTGGGGCGCTTGTTTATGTATTTTGATTTCCTGAAGGAAGTTTTCTTCGACAACTTGGAAAACGTTCTATTTTAAATAGAGTTTCACTGTAAAAGCTTATGGAAGTTGGATATTTTTGGTTATTATTCACAGCCTCACGCTTCCGCTTGGGTTAAAACGGACCCAAACGCAACCACAAACAAGATCGCATCGTTGCGCACTGACATCGCTGAGAAGGAGCGAAGAATTGCTCAACTATCCAACGAAAATGAAAAGCTAAACAAGCAAAAAATGCAGTCCATGACACTGCTGAACGGGTTACAGAGAGAAAACTCTGCAAAGGACGCCTTCGTGCATCAGGCGAAGAGAGAGATTGGAAAACTTAAGAAGGATCTACGTGAAAAGGATTCAACAATTTCCACCATGTCGACGAAGGTTAGGTAGAATACACGAAAACTAACGTTGCCTTAACCTCAAAGATAATTTTAATCGTAGCCTGCGAGTACAGCTTTCTCTCAACACTCCCCCTTCGTTGTGAGGTTTCGAGAGGCGCCCTCAGCTACGTGGAAAAGCCACTAGCAAGCTCTCTATTTCTGGAGGGAACAAAGCCAGCCTCGAGGGACTCGCGACTCCACCAAATGGCCATGGAGAACTTGTTCGCAGGGTACGACGTGAAACGATTACTTTTTCCGCGTTACACGTTCGGCTGTATCGAGGGTTCCCAATAGGTTTTTGGGGATCCGGGATTTGCCTTATTTGAATATCGGGATCCGGAATTTCCCTTATTTGAATCGATTACCAAATGGCCATGGAGAACTTGTTCGCAGGGTACGACGTGAAACGATTACTTTTTCCGCGTTACACGTTCGGCTGTATCGAGGGTTCCCAATAGGTTTTTGGGGATCCGGAATTTGCCTTATTTGAGGGCCGGGATTCAGAATTTTAAAGCAAAATGGAGTTGAGATGTGCACGGGATGCTAATCTCCCTCGCATCCGTTTTAGTGTCGTCACGCAACGTTCCTAGTGGAGCAAAATCCTTTCTCATCTTAAACCATAAAAGTTAATGCAAAGATCTGTGTAGCCTGCGTGGCAGGCGCTATATCCCCTACCCCTTTCGACGCCTGCTACGTAGGTTTTGATATGTGGTGATTTCAGTTCGAATAGACGCCTTTAATCTGCCAACAGCTGTCTAATATGAAACTTTATAAAAACAGCGTGCGAGCAAGCTTTCTATTTTGTGTGGCGCGAAGCGAGCACGTGTGAGGCAGAGGAAAGGAAAGCCCTCGTTTCTTTCTTCAACCTACTCTCTCGTGTCTCCTCTCGTGTGTCGCTTGCATGTGGCTTCAAACAATGTAACTCCACTGAAAAGCTTGCTCGCATGTAGAGTAACACAGAAGAGTCACTTGTACAATCAGTCGACTACACATAAGGGAGTTTTAGTAGAGGCGTTTTGAGCGACGCACGTCAATCGGAAGTCAGGTCGTTTCCCTGTTAATGCCCTGACGCCACCAGATTTGTATTGCTAAGTGTTTTAACTCTTATAGAGACAATTTGCCCTAAAATTAGGGCAAGGCCACTAGCCAAAAGGCAAAAACGCTACTTCCAGTTGACGTGCATTGTTTCAAAATGTCCTTTCTTAAGCTCACTATTGAACCGTTGGAACTAAAGCTACAAGGCAGCTTAAGCAACTACGACGGCGACGGCTACGAAAACATCACTTAAAAAGTGAATTCGCGTGGCTTTAAACTTTATCGCGCTTATTCCATCTCGTTCAATTCGTCAAATATTGGCAAATTTTCCAAGAGTTGAACTCTAAAAGACTGTATCGAAGTTCAGAGAAAGAAAAAGAAGGTCGTTGTCTTGTGTTCACGTCCTCCACAAAATGTGAAATCAGGAAGTTTGACGTCGTAGTCGTGCAGTGACGGCAAAGAAATGTACAAAAAAGCGTGATGCACGTGCAAAGTTGTTGTTTTGCCAATCTAAACTTATTGCTTTTTTGCTGTTCTCGTTGCCGTCGCCGTCGTCTTTGCTTTAGCTCACTTATATGTCACTAACAACGACAACGTTCAAAGTGCCCAATCTCCTTTTAACATCCTGTAAAGTATTTTTCACTTAAGGGTTATTCAGGGGCACCCAACGACGGTTTGCTCCTAAATACATTGAAAACACTTTTTAGGCTATCCAGAGTACTTTAAGATATCTAGAAAAGCATTCTAAGCGGCGTTGTAAAATTTGTATCTGTTCGGTCATCCTAGGGAAACTTGAGTCTTTTCGAAATAACAAGGGCTTGAATATTATTTTCCCGAAAGTTTTCCATGAAATTTGACGTATTACGAAAGTGAGACATTTTGTTATTGATCTCTCCATCACATTTTTGAATTGGAAAATTCTGGGTCTCCTTTTTTCTATGAAAAATAACCTAACTTGGGAAGTAAAATGCGAAAACTAATCTTCAGAAAATCGTCGGCAATTAATTAGATAAGCTTCGAAAATTGTTGATGAATGGAACGGTCATCTAGAAATTTGTAGCCGTCGTCCAAGTGACTGATAGAAAATTCTAGGGAATAGTTGCTTTCCGAACAGATATTTTAAAGAAACAGCCCTTGGGTGCCCCTGGGTTAATAAATATGTACAAACTGTATGTAACGTTCAAGCTTTCTTTCTCTTATTTTCAGCTAAAAGGCAGAAGGCCGCTAAAGAAGTGGAGAAAGAGGCACAAAAATTACAACAAGAGCTTTATTCAACAAAAGGGGTAAGAATTGAGTGGTCTGTTATAAAGGTCTTCTCATCTGAAACATCACCTATTTTACTTTAGAGTTCTAGGTTTAACACCTTGTAATCGGTCTTATAATTAGTAAACAGCCAGTACATAGGTACAGTTTCCATCGTGTTTCATTTTCCATTGTGTGGAATAATGGTTAAGGATGTACTAAATAATTAGTTAATTTAACTATCTTAACCATTTTTCTAAGAGCCTTTTTACATGGAGGTGGGGGACCCAAGGCAGGTGAGGTAACCCGCCTGTGCATATAATCTCTCATTTTAATTTGATCACGTCTACATGATGGGTGGGGTGACCCGCCACATGTTACCACACCTACCTGGGGTCCCCCACCTCCGTGTAAACAGGCTCTAAATAATGTGCTTCTCTTCATTGAAATTGCGCCCGCAGTAACATATTAAATTTACTTTTCAAACGTTACCAAGGACCTTTCATTTGGTTAGTAGTCAGTAGTGAGCTCAGAAACTTGACAAGCCTCAAAACCTTCAAGAAACATATACGCGGTGTGGACCTTTCTAGCCATATAGATAATAATAGTAACTGCTGTGACTTTTGTAAATTCAGAGTCATGAACATTTGTATATAGTTTTAGGTTTTAGGTAAGATCATTAATTTAAAAGTCATGTAATAGATTAGGGCCAGTTCTTACGAAAGTGTCCCCAATTAGCTAATATAACTGTTGAACTAAATACATTGACAATAAAACAAAGTTGTTATTCTTAAACGCTTAAAAGTTTTTAGTACTTATTTGTTATTACATAAATAACGCAACGGAGTGTTAGAGATATGTTAAGCCTATGTTTTTCAGATGTTTACAGGATAATTTGGTTGGCTAAATTTCATTGAAATTGGTCAAATATTCCCAGAGTTATGACGCTATGAGGAATTAATTCATGGCAAGCCTTACATAACTCTAATCAACAATGTTTTTGTGCAAAGTTACACGTAATAGGTAAAGCCAAGACAATTAAGTATCCTTTTATCGTCATTGTTAACACGTTTTACCCGAAGGCTATTGATAAACCCACATTCCTTTCTGTCCAGTTCATTCTCGTAAGCCGCCATTTTGTTTTCGTGCACAGTAATTTTTAGGGAGTTATTATAACTCCAAAAATGGAGTAAAAATTTTAGGTACAGGATAAACCCTTTTTGGGGGGTTTCTTTAACTCCAAATCTGGGTGATTCTTTGAACTCCTTTTTTGGAATTAAAATAACTCCGAAAAAAATAACTTTACTGTAAGGAGTTAAATTAAACCCACTAGAGCAGTTATTATAACTCCTTGAAAATTACGGTTGCTATTAAGCTTCCGAAGTGACTGTAATACGCTTGCAAATGCGTGCAGCGAGCGTGCAGCAGGAAGTCCGTTTACTTGTTTACTTAGTGTAATGGATTCGGCTTTTGAGCTTTTGTGTTGTTGATACATCTTCATGTTTTAAAAACAAAACGAGACAAACGTCCTTTCAGGAATGTCAATAAACTGAATAGTTATGTTTCCCTTTAGTTTCTTAGTTAAAACCAAAGAAGTCTGGATTGTCCAAAATTAAGTTTTATCACAAATTAAATATCCTTGTTTCTATTAATGCTCTTGTCTTTCGCAAAATGTCTGTTTTTTTTTTTCTCATTCCGTTGTTTTTAATGGGGTCATAATTCGTTCTATATTGTCTAAATGTCTAGGTTTGATCTGATCTGAGCGGCTGACAGGTTTTCAGAGTCCGTTGAAGTTTAATGAATGTCAAGCCACTTGAAAAAAACGTGTAAATTTTCTGCACAGAGCCACGCAATATTTTAGGTTTATCGGGAAAGTCACAGTTTGAATTTTTGCGAAAGTGAAGCGTTCAAGTTTCCATGAAAGCAGCTACTGGAAGAAGCTAATACCAACAGTAATCACAGTTTTATTTCGTTGTAGTTATACATGTAATAATTTCAATGCATGCTTGTATTGCAAGCTCGTTAGCGCAGGTAATTCCCTGTAACTAATTGTTCGTTTAAGTAGCTTTTTCTTTTTCTGCCGGTTTTACATGCATTAAGTTTAGCCGCAGGATTATTTGTAAACGGCTTGCTTAGGCAGTTCATTGAGATATATCATTTGTGCATCGTTACCCAAGCCTGTATTCAAACAGAGCGTCGACTCTTGTCTGTTCCTGTGAATGAGAGTACCAATTATGTTATTTTACTTCTTTGATTTCTTTTTTTGCCCTTTTCAGAAACTTCAAACCACAGAGAAGCAATTGAAGGAAAGGATTAAAACCATCGCTGATTTAGAACACGAGTTAGAGAAGATGAGAGATCATCTCGGCGAAGGAAGACAGGTTAGTTGCCATAGCACCTAGACCTGAATATCCCGGATGTTGTGCCTGAATCAGAGCAAGTCCAACCACATTGCGGAAGTTCATAATATTACGTACCAGATTTTATAATTCTCCAACCAGGAGTCGAACCCATGACTTTTTGGTTATTGCCTTTTTATAGGAAATAAACGACTCACGAATTTAAGTCGCGTTAATTTTTTGAAACGTTAATTTTCCCGCCGTTAATGTGGAGCTTTGATTTCCACGGTCATAAAGGGGCTGTGTCACGGCTGTCCAGTTCATTTTGTCAATATCTAGTGCCAATTATGCGTCCTTATTTGCTATGGAACTTACAGCTGAACTTAACGTTAGCGGAGAAATTACTCGTAATGACAAAATCCCACGCATTATATCAAACGCTAAAAACAATAAAAATGAATCTTCTTCAAGTTTGTCCATCTGTGCCTTCTATTGTATTTGCTTTGTTATATATCTGTCTGGATTTGTTAAAACGTGGCTAAAGAAATTTCAAGTGCATTTTAACTATTTGACATCTAAGTGGAATGGGAAGCAGTTAAAAGTCACTAGCTGAAGCTAAACAATGACAGTATTATTGCTGGCAATAGACGGTAAAGTTCTCTCGCAGAAGTAACAGGATTTTGCGATGAAATAAACAACAATTGAAACGTTCGGAAATTAGTCAGCCAAACCGTGAGGCCCACAGCTCAGTGTCGGCCGAAAACAGATTAAGAATCCACAATCTTTGAGCACAGAATAGGCTTTCTAAGACAAAATCACCTGAACGAAACACTCACGAAGCGTTTTTATGCTTGACACAAAGTATTCTAGTAACACGAGCTCAACCGCACATACCTGAGATTTGTCTGTCAACACTTTCGGTAAATCACACAATGAATGACTTTCGCGGCAATCACAACACTTCCCAAAACCACTCATAATATTTCCACACATAACACGGGCGAAACATCGTCAAATTACTCCGTAAAACTCTCGCTTTCTCCACATAAATCGTCACATGGAACATTTCTCGACTCACTGATCCCGGATGTAAACCAGCGGTTGAAAAGGAGACATGCAGCCCCCACCTTCCGCACAATTTTTTAACTAAGTCTTTGGCCTGGTCAGAAATCAGCATGAATTTCCATCTTGCCGAATATTTAATATTGTTTGCCACAATTTTGCCAACTGACAGTTTATTATTATTATTATTATTATTATTTTTCAATACTTTTTATTTTTATTGAAATTTGTTTTGTTACTCACTGACATATTTATCTACTTATTTATTATTTTACTTTCTGCTTTGTATTAATGTTGTTAATTTGTTGTCAATTAAAAAAAAATCTTGCCGAATAGATTTCAACCCTAGAACCTACTTTGTGAGGCCAAAGACTTGTTACTGCCAACAATAAAGCTCGCAATATCCAATCTTTCGGTCTCAAGCCCGGGATCAATCTTTCACCCGTGTAGCCCGAAAGGAGACGAAATACCAGAAGATATTGGACGCAGCAGACTTTGCTAGACGAGAGAATTGTTCCTTCATAAGGCTTAATGATGCCTTCCGGAAAACTTTGCTCAAGGCAGCCAAAAAAACTCTAAGATAACCCACCATGAGAGCCGAGTTCAGTCTAATCCGCGCGCTGATTTCAAACTGACATACAGTGAGACTTATGGGAAGTTATGAAAAACATTTTTTTTTGGAGGAGGGGGGGGGGGGGGGGTAATAGGTTAAAAGCTAGCGAGAAACTCATCAAAGTCTATCTACTGTGGCCTATCCGGTACTGATTAAATAAATAAAAAGTAACTATGAAAAAAAACAAACAAACATGCTCCACTACAAGGTTCAGTCAGAGGGTATAAGAGAGATTTCTGTAGCCATGTTTTTGCAAATCCAGACAGATATCTGTTCTTATAATTTGGTGGCAGTTCCTACTGCTTGAATTTTGATAAATTTCGTGACACAGCTCCTTTAATTTCCACTATTTTGGATACACTTCTGACGTTCTTGACACCTAGGAAAGAGGAGTATTTTATCAGGTTGGAGATCCGTCAGTAACAGTGAAACTGTCAAGAACCCTTGAAGTGGCCAGATTTCTTCGTTAGACATAAGTCCGACGTATTTAATTTGGGTCAACCCATGAATTAAGATGGAGTGGCCCACATGATTTTCGACTGTAGAGTGACTTCGTTTCAAACGTCGAACTTTTCATGTGTTGAAACTAATGCATAAATTACTATAATTCATTTTCACCGATAAACATTGTAGACCATTGTACGTGGTGAAAGTCAATTGAGTCCGACTAATTAAGTTCGACGCCTGAATCAATCGTCGAATTGTTGTGATTTGGGCCGACCTAAATAGGTATCAAGTTTGGTGCATACAAAGTTGGTCGTTTGAGTTGGGCCTAACTTTGTTTCTGTTGTCCCAACAAGTTTAGTTTCTTTGTGAGCATCCTGTTAATTTTCTCCATTTTGAAATGTTATCCTCTCTTCCTCGTTAATTTCCTTTATTTCAAAGTCGTTTTCCACTAAAGTCGCGTTAATTTCCAATACCATAATTTTATGAAGCTTTAATTACCTAGAATAGGGTAGTCCACATGCTCTACAGGGGAGATTTTGTGTCCAGCGGTTTTTAGTAAAAACAAGGGTTTGTGGGGGTTACTCAGTCTTGCGGGCTCAAAAACCTCCCTTACGTCGATCTTATTTCATATTTACCCACCTTAAATCAGTCCCATAATGCAGTTCGACAAAAACCGACCCAGTCTCACCCACGCTTAACTTTGAAAATGACCCAGTCAGGTAATCAGTGAACAAACCTTCTCTCTTAAAAGAGCGACAAGGCGATTCAGCAGGAACTGGATCACGCTAAAGCTCAGTGTCTGGACGCACAAAGAGCTGAGAAACTACTCAAGGTTGACTTTCATCAACTGGAAAAAAGAGTAAGTGAACTGTGATTTTAAGTAGTAATAGGGGCTACTATAAGTACTAACCAATCAGAGCGCAGCAAATTTTCTCTCGACCAATCAGCATCGCGCATTTGACCCATGTGACTTAGGTGACGTCACAATGCCCATATATGGTCATAAAATTCACGTGACCCCATAGGAATAAAGAACACGCACACACAAGAGTTGAATTCACATTCTTGGCATAGTTTTAATGAACCGCGTGAAACCTGGTGACAAGCGGGACGTGTGTGACACCCTAGTGATATCACGCCCATTACAAATCTAATAGCAAGTCAAGTTCATCTCCAATCCTCTCATAGCCATAGGGATAACTGGAACGAGTGGCGACCTCAATGACACGCTTGTCAAACACCAACCCATACTGCTTCACGCGCGGAACCACTTGAATTCGTTTTTCCTCTAAATCTCGTTTGAAATAATAAGGGTTAGTGATATTCAAATTGCGTCGAGACTCCTGGGGCGAATCTAATTCCGACAGAATGTTCTCTTTCATCGTCTGAAAATTGAGAATGGCTGATCCACGGACGTTGAGCGTGAAACCGCGTACCTTGCACACGACTTTACCACCACGGGTCTGGTACCCATAATTCTTAGCGCCCCCCGAAACAAATTCGGTGATGACGTCTCCCTCCAATTCATCGGTCATGTCCCCGAGAAAATCCCCAGTGGCAATGCTGGGTTGACCGGGCCGCCATTTGTATACCACACTATCAGTGTCGTAATAAAGGACTTGCTGTTGCAGGGTATCCAGGGACTCGTAGAGCTTGAGTCGAGCATGACAGGTCGTGAACGCGGCTATGAAAATGTTAGTCTTGGTCCCTTTGACAGCATTGTCTTGGACACTGGTGTAAACGGCTTCCAAGATATCGTCCGTGCAAAGGCGGAGCGTACTGAGATCGAGGGTGGCATCGGAAATGAGATTGAACAAATCGGCGGGGTGTTGAACGGTGACAGTGGTGGGTTTGTTGATCCGCTCCCCGAATTTGCCCCAGAAACTATTCAGCATGAGCTTGGCGGTGGCTTTCCGACCGGGGTTTTTGGCAATACTGGCAATATCCAGTCGGATGCCTTCCCGTTCCTGGTAACGAAGAATGTAATTGCGTTTTTGCTCAAGGGTCTGACACCAGCTGGGCCATCCTGCAGATTCTTGTTTTAACTTGAGCCAGGTGTTGACGTAATCGGCAAAAAGACCCGTTTGACGTTGTTCAGGGGGAAAATGCCAGACTTCATGAATCTTGATCAGCGTGTACCCCTTTTCGACGGCTTTGACCAATTCGGGTGTACACCAGGTACCACGTAGCATACGATCTGCGTCAGAATGAGGGCAATAGTGGGTTCGGGTCAACATGGGTTGGGCCTGCTCGGTCTGAACACAGGCGCGGCAGAGAGGAAACGTGAGCTTGTTTCCGCTGCGCACGGGTAGAACAGGGTGGAATAAACCAATGGGAGGAAGAATATCCACGGTGGCGACACCAAAGTAGGACTCAGGGACTGGTCAGTGGGTTGCGTGATGATCCGTGGATGTCCGATGGGATAGGGACAATTTTTGTTGACCCATGGATACAGGGAGGTCACATCCACATAGCGTATTTCCTCACCTTCTCCAGCCACAGCATGCAAAGCCACCGCACCGGTTCGGCCCCCAAAGAAGGCTTCACGGGGTTCTAAGGGTGCTGCCAGATCGAAGGAATGGAGAAACCGTTGGACGGTTTCATCGGTGTCCACCAATTGGTCCCATTCACACTCCCACATTTCAAGGACTGTATGGCCTGCTCGGAGCAAGATCGTGCGTTTGGCGAGCGTGGCTTGATAGAGTTCCTCCACGGTTCGATCCGGTGTGGCATAATGTTTGGCGGTTCTCACGGGATAACAACGGGGACAGCCATGATAGAGACATCCATGAAATTCGTAGACAGTGCGGGTCACAGGATCGTAGCCATCCACAAAATAATGATGGGCGCTGGTTCGGATCGACTGTTCGCCCCCGTTTCGGACGTGACGAATGCGGTCAGCACTAGCCCCCTCTTTGGGAAGGAGATGTTCTTGATAATAGAGCCATTGCAGGGCTTTGAGGGATTGATTGACTTGGGCCCCTCGCCAACCCGCCAGAGGTTCCACCGCAATGGTATCGGGGGTCAAATGATGCTTGCGCCAATACAAGTTGCAGGCACTGGCAATGGTGATACACTTGGCCATGGGGTTGAAGCCAGCCTGCTGTTCGAATTCCTCTTGAAAGGCTTCACACCCCGCTTTCAAGAGAGCTACATCCGATTTGCAATAGTCAATCATGTCTTGCTGGAAATTAAACGCGACATTACGACGGACTTGATCGGCATGCCAACGGGTCAGTTCGTCTTTCTTTTTGGTCATCATGCCGTCAGGATCGTAAAATTCCAGATCAGGGATGCGACCCACATACTGTTGATGATCGGGGGTATTGAACAAGTGAGGAAAAAAACCTTTCTTTAATTCGGTTAAATTAAAGGTACTAGGAAAAGAGGCCAGCGGCATAGGCAAGAAACATAACGAGTCAATGAATTTGAGGGGTCCACTCTTGAACGACAACACTTTAGCTCCCACAGTCAGTTGATCCTCCACCACGCGTTGTTGCTGGTACAATTCATGGAGAATGAACATGCCATCGAAGCCTTTTAAATTATGAAACACCACGAGAATCTCCCGCTGATCTTCACAGTCAGGCACGTCTGTGAGATCATCCAAATCACGCAAAAATTGGAGGGCACAGTCCTCCCCGTCCAATACATGGATGGTGGTTTCGACACTGGACGAATAACACAGTAAATTAGCCACAAACACCCCTTCTGCATTCTGCATGGCTTCGAAATCTGCATAAACAAACAGGGGAGGGGGTGGCGCCACCATGCGACCTCCCCCCTCCTCTGTCGGTTCAGTCTCCTCTGGCTCTACCGCAGGCTGAATGTAACACTTGTGGTCTTGAATAGACACCCATTCCTGACACACAGAACATTTGGCGTACCCGCACTGATGACGTTGGTGGTGGACGACTGTGTATTGGGCTTGACACTTGGTACAGCATTTGATCGATTGACATTGGTGGCTGACTTCATGATAACGTTTACATTGATGACCGTAAAACTTGCGGTGACACAGACTGCAATACTCGGTGGGGCGGGTGCCAACCACATACTCCGGACAATCAAAACGTCCACACGCGGAGCAACGTCTCCCTTGACAAGTATGATGGGATCGATCATCGGTGTTGAACCCTCGTTCACAGTCCAGGCAATAATAGGAGCGATTGACAAACGCGGGAAAGGACGTGCAACCATCAAAATGATCATTAGATTTCAGTAAACGAATCTGATGAGGGGCGGCGGGGCCTTTGAAAATTAAAAAGAACGGTTTCATCCGGGTCATCACCAAGAGTTGATAGTGAGATCCCAACGCTTGTTGAAACTGACGAAGCTCGGGGATGCCACAGGGACCCTCAGCCACACCCGCTTGCTGATGAAGAGCCTGGGCTTGACGTTGTTGCACCGGAAGTCCACGTTTGAGATTCTCCCAGTCGCGAAACCCATCCACGCCTTGATCTTTATGGCAATGAGCACGCATGGTGACAATGGCGCGGGCACAACATAAAGTATCTCTATTTTTGATGGTGACAATGCATCTCTTTTTTTTGTTGACTCGATCCAAACATAAACGGCCGGCATTGCGTTGTTTATGTCGACCAGACCCTGGGCCAGGCATGGAGACAAACACTACATCCACTTGGAACCCACGATCGGGGTTGAAGGCTTCATTGCTGTTCAATTTTCCGGCCAAGGTGGCCAACATCTCATCCAAACGAGCCGTGCGTTGTAAAAATTCTCCCACAGTAAAATTGGCGGTTTGATACGCGTGGATGAACCCATGCGCTGTAATAGCAAAGTTCACAAAATGATGGGCGGGTCGCTGCTCGCGGTCGAGTTCCGTTTCAATGGCTTGATGCAAGGCTTCCGTAAGCGCCATCCCAATATTGTCTCCAGGACCAGGATCCCTCAATTGACGCAATTGCGCATTGAATTGTGCACGTTCCACTACATTACGCCAGCGGCGTCGTCGACCAATAGGTTGCATGATAAATTGGAAGAGAGGGCCTCGAGCGGGAACGGCTCCGCCCAATTGTTCCCACTGGTCATAAGCGCGGTTTAATAGAGCTTCTTCCTCCTCATCACTGTCAGGATACCAGTGGTCCTCCGCCATGACGGAGGAGGCAGTTTGAATTTTCCCGCGCCAGACGCCGGCTTTTATAGACCTAAAAACACGTGATCAGACGAATGGGGATTGGTGGATAGGGCTCAGGTGAGAGTCAGGTGAGAGTCAGGTGAGGGGTTGATTAGACAGGAGGAGGATTGAGGGGGGTGCCCCCCATGGGTACAGAATTTTCCAGTCTCCGCTGAGTCTGGACCGAGATCGGTGATTGGTGGAAAGATGTCTAGATATAAGCCAACGTTCAGACCAGACGTCAGTTGCCATTGAGACATGCCTAATCGAGATCCTGAGAAAGTGAAAGAGGCTAAACACCGGTGGTACCTGAAACACAGGGAGAGGATTGCGACACAGAAACGGGAGAAGCGGGCGGCTCAGAAAAAACTCAAACCGCCCAAGCCACCCAAACCACCTCCGACCCAGGAACAGTTGGCCAGAGCTCGTGAATTGAATCGGTTGGCCTGTAACCGATACCGATCCACACACGGAGATCAAGTACGGGCACTCAACCGTAAATACTATCATCGACACCGCGATAAGATCGTCCAACAGCAACGGGACCGCCGTGCCCGAGCTCGAGAGAGACACCAATCCTTTCCAAAATTGCAAGCCTTGGCCGATGAGTGCGCTGCCCGTTTACTGGTGATTGAACATGGATACACCAGGATCGCACCAGCCCCCAAACCAAGGAAAAAAACGGGACCCTGTAAAAAACAAAGCGCAACAAAAAGCGTATCGGCAACGTCTATATGCCAAAATGAATGGAATAGAGGATGTCAAGGCCCTTCACCGTCGCCGCTACCATGAACGAATGGCTCGATTGAAAGTCAGTGGTGAGTACGATGCCTTCAAAGCTAAAAAATCCCAAGAGGGCATGCGGCGCTACTATGGGATGACCAAGGAACAGCGGGAGGATGTCAAGCGTAAAAACGCCCAGTGTCAGAAAAACTGGCGGGAGAAAATGAAAGAGCGAGGGACCTACCAGGCTTATCTGCAACGGACCAATGCCCATCGACGAGAGCAGGCAGCCCAGAAAAGAAAAGAGTTGGGCGAGGAAGGGTGGAAAGCATTGCAGAAAGAACGGTACAACAAGCGAATGGAAGTCATTCGACGTCGAGAATGGTCCTGGTTGGACGAGGAATTAAAGCGTCCCTTTCCCCTCCCGTGGTTGCCATTGGACTTGCCCCTAATTGTACCTAATGAGGACAGTGTGCATACCCTTCGCGCGGAGGCTTTACAAAAAATGGACTCGTACTTGTAAGAACAAAAGTTTAATTAAATCATGTGTATTGTGCTATTGAACATGGTGTCTTGTTTTATGACTAAAGGGGGTTTACATGCCGAATCGAAGTTTAGCTTTCATAATGCGTCTCACAATACGCTCTGTTAAGTTTTTACTACCGGGGAGTTGATCAATCTTGGCAATCATCTTGCGATCCGCCGCCCATTTGTCTTTCAAATTCTTGGCTTTATCATAATCCATGTCATGAGCTTTCGCAATCCTGTCCAACCGGTTGATACCGGGATCCCCACGGGCCAATCGTTTTTTCAAATGAGTGCCAGGTCCCATATACTGATAACCGAGCCAATGAAATTCAATACCGGTCTTGTTGAGGAGGTTCTGCACATCAAATAACTTGCCGCCCCGTTGCGACCGTCGTCGTCGTCGCCTCGCTCGGGAACGGGAGGCCGCAGCACGGCGTTTGCGTCCCATCTTAGGGGGTTTTCCACGATTTCCAATCCAAAGCTTTCTTGGCCCAACCAGCGGCTTTCTTTTTGGCGATGCCCGCAGCTTTCTTTTTAGCACTGTCCGCGGCTCTTTTGCGAATCCCGCGCTTGAATGATTGCGTAATAGTGTCTGCACGTTCTTTGGGGGTTTCCCACGGGGCTGTTCCAGGCGCCTCGGAAAAGGGCAACTCTTCCGCCAATTCTTCACTGCTCAACGGGGTCGTAAACTTGAGTTTCTTTTTGGCACTAGGCGTGAACCTTGGTTTAGGCGGGACAGGGGGTTTTCTGGGTCCACGCGTCGGGGTGCCTTGTTTTATACCCTGGGTGGCCTTGACCAATTGCGTGAACCAGGCTTGCATGGGGCCTGCCTCGAAATCATCGTCGCCCGGCGTCGTGGCCCCGGCAGCGGTCACACCCCCAGCAGCGGCTCCAAAGGGTTGGCGCACTTTTTTAGTCCAATGGCGTAATTGACGGCTGACGGCTTTGAGTTGAGGCCGTTTCCAAGCATCGGGGACATCACTGGTCAAGAGGACATGTTGTTTGGCGGCTAAATCGGCGGCTTTGGTCAAGCGGGTGTCTTCCACCAATTCTTGTTTGTACTGGTCTCGTAATTGTAAAAAAGCCGGGGCGTTGTTTACCGTGGTGCTGACCATCTCGGGTTCCATGGTGCAACTGAGGGGTCGGGTCTAGCGCATGCAACGTTTATAACATCGGTAGAGTTCAGGCCAAAGGGCACCCCCTTTTTGAGCCATCATGATGGCGCGTCGTCGTTTGACGGAATGAGCGGGTTTAGCCATGGCGCGTAAACTCTGAGCGTGAGGTTTGAGTAACGTAATGGTCTGCCGGGAACGGGGGACGGTGCCACGGAGGGTATTCATCACCAATTCACTGACAGCATTGATCTGATCCGCATTGGCCATCCGCAACAATTCTTGTCGTTTGTGTTGATTGGCTTCTCGTAAGACACTTTTTAAGAACGGGGCTTGACGTTCCATGCGCCACCCCATGATGAATCTTCAGTTCAGGCAACGACCAAGGTCTATTTATGGTAAAATGGCGCCACACCGACCACACAATTCACCATGATAATGCCGTTGCATGTGATGTCGGCACCGGGCACACAAAGCGGCGTCATATTGGTCATCCCAATCCAACGCAAACGTGACGGCTTTGCGTTTTGGGCGTCGTTTAGTCTGGGCGTCGTAGTCGGATTCTGGGTTTGAATTTCCGGAGATACAAAGGCGAGAGAGCCATTGCCAACAGCGGGAGTTTAGCACCGCGTTGGCGTCCACGTCGGCGGCGTCGTATTCGAGGGACATAACGATGTCGACGACCGTTGGGGCCACGAACCATTCTTCAATGAGAATCGTGTGTCCAACCAAGCGTTTCTTTTTATAGCCTTTTCAGCGTTTCGAACCAGCCCAACCCGGCATTCGATTGAACATCCGCTGGACCCGTCGTTGGGCCAGTCGTTGATTGGCTGCACTCATCTTGCCCACTTTCTTTTTCTTTTTCTTCTTCATGAGGACGGCTGCAGCCACAGCTGCGGGATGAGAAACGGAGAATACCCCGCGTTGCTTTCGGCGTCGTTTTCGTCGTCGTGGACCACAATGCATAATGATGATCTGTCCGAGGGAGGACACCCTTTAGTCTTTTATAGTTTTTTTTACATAATGGAACAATTAAAGGATTCCCCGCGTATTTTTTCCGTTTGCCTGAAGCCACTTCTCGTCGACGTTTTTCGCCAATGGCGATGGCACGCTTGGTTTGATGATCCCCGATGGCTTTGGTGATCCCATAGCCGGCTTTGAGAATCCCTTTAGGGCATGCTGACCGCGACACCCCTACTTGACTCACACGCCGTCGTCGTTTGGCGGGTCGTCGTCGTGTCGTCCTGCGTTGGCGTTTGCGTCCCATCGCGTGTCCACAACGGCCACACATTTTTTAGAATGATGTGGCCAAGAGACAACTGTTTTTATATCCTTTTTTCTGTTTTACGCAGACCTGGAACCTCGCCCACGGCCGCGGCCGCGGCCACGGCCCCGTCCTCGACGTGGGGGTCGTGGGCCGGACGTGCGGGTGGACGTGCGGCGCACCGAAGGTCGTCCACCCTCTTCGTAGACGGTGGTGACGGTATTGGTGTGCGTGATGTTGCGGATGCGTCGACCTCGAGCCCGTTCTTGAGCATCTTCATTGAGCAAATCCAATCGTCGCCTTAAGCCTCGCCCTCGATCGTCGTCATCGTCATCCTCGTCATCCTCGGACGGAGGGGACGAACCTGGGGAGGGTGGAGAGGGCACCCTGGGGCGCCGTCGCGGTTGTTTGGCAGCCACGGTGGGGCGTCCCGTGGGGGTCGTTGTCGTCGAGGAGGTGGTCCTGGTACCTGCCCCAACACTGCGGCGGGAAGTAGAGGGGCGGGCAGGGGCAGTGGTGGTCGTGGCAGTGGTGGTGGGGCGTGTTCGGGTGGAAGTAACGGGTCGTGGTCGGCTGGTAGTGGTGGTGGTCGTGGGGCGTGTTCGGGTCGAGGTGGTGGGGCGGGTTGGGGCAGCTGTGGTGGTGGTGGTGGCAGTGGTGACAGGGGCTGTACCAGTGCCTGCCACAGGCGGGAGCGTGAAGGCATTCAAGGCATCATCCACATTGACCGGGTAGGTCAAATTAAAATCCTCAATTTCTTGATTCAATTGGTCCCGATCCACGGGTCGAGACAATTCGGTCACCATATCCGTCATGCTGCTGAGATCCCGAAGGACCGAGGGGGAACCTACCCCCGCGGGTGAGTGTGTATCCATGCGAGCGGCTAACTCAGTATGTTGTCCGCCTTCTCTTTGCCGACGAACCCTGGCGAGTTCGCGTTGCAGTTCGTTTTCGAACGGCAGGGACATCCGCACGCAAGGTGTGGACTTGCGCCTTGCCTTCTCGGGGCGTTAAATGACTCCACAGGCGGTAGCGATCATCCGAGGCTGGATGCACATCCAACATCAAATAGCCAAAAGGTCGAGCCGTGATGCGTTTAAATAGGCGCAACACTTGACGCCACCGATCCGGAAAGGCTTGCAATAAAATGGTCCGAATGCCTGTTTGATCCCGGGGGTTTTTGAAGGCCACAATGTAATGTGCGTTGCGATTGATGGTCTTGGAAAATTTGCCAGGCGGGAATAAATCTTGCGTCAAATACAACACCGTGATGTTACGATGATGCGAATCTTTGGTGAACAAATCCAACACGCGCTTGTCTTGTCCCCCTTCTTCCATCAGGTCGTCCAAGA